TCTAAAGTGAGAACAGCAGCACAACTGGAAGAACGTAATCGATGTCACTGAACTGCACACGTAGAAATTTTTGAAATGGTGTATCTTTGGTTATGTATATTTTCACCAAAAAAAAAAGGTCCTCCAAGGCCGAGAAGGGAGCATGTTGACATGTCGTGGGGTTGTTAACCAACGTCATAAAACAGTATGTGTACCGACTGTTTAATAAGAAAATATTTGTTCTGTAAACCTTCACCTAAAGTACAATTAAAAAAAACTAAAAAAAAAAGTCCCTCTTTCCTGAGCACTTTTGTTTTTCACCGCGCAGCCCCTCTGAAGTCTCTACAGCCTTTTTTCTTTAACAAAGCTTGCAGAGGCAGGAGTCAAAAGACCACCCTCGATTCTGAACAGAAGTGACATGTGCCAAAGGCAACAAAGCTTACCTGTTATGGGCTGAATTGTGTCCCCCCCAGAAGATATGCTGAAGTTTTAACTCCTAGTATCTATGAAAGTGACCTATTTGGAAATAGTACCTTGCAGATGTGATTAGTTAAGTTAAACACGATGTCACACTGGAAGAGGCTGTGCCCTAATCCCACTGGTGTCCTTACAAAAAGGGAGGAGACACAGACCAAATGACATGGGGGAAGACAGCCATGTCAAGACAGAGGCTGAGATGGGAGTGATGCCTCCGTAGCCTAGGAGCGCCTGGGGCTGCCAGGAGCTGGGAGACAAGAAAAGATCTTCCCCTAAGGCCTTCAGAGCACGACTCTGCTGAAACCCTAAATTTGGACTTCTAGGCCCCAGAATTATGAGAGAACAAATCTCTGTTGGTTTAAGTCACCCAGTGTGTGGTACTTTTTCTTATAGCAGCAATAGAAAACTAATACAGATGACAACTAAAGGCAACGCACGATCTAGTGTTTGAGAAACCACCACTACAAAGGGCGTTTTGGGGATGATTGGTAAAAATTTTCATATGGCCTGTACTCAGCTCTAGGTAACATCGTTGTTGTTGTTAGTTGCTGTGGGATCAGCTGCGGCTCATGGCGACCTTACGTTTACCAGACCGAAACACTGCCTGGTCCTGCACAATCCTCGCAACTGCTGGTATGTTTGAGCCCATTGTTGCAGCTACTAAGAGTACTGTATCAATATCAATCTTCCTGAATTTGATTGGCTGTACTATGATTAGGTAAGAGACTGTTTTCAGCTACATGATAACACACTTAGGAGTAAAGGATTACGATGTCTGTCACCTACTCTCAAGTTGTTGTACAAAACATACTACTATACATTGTTGCTGTTAGCTGCCGTCGAGTTGGCCCCTGCCTCCTGATGACTCTATGCACTGGTCCTGCGCCACCCCATGAGATCTGCTGTAGATCAGTGTTGTGATCTATACGGTTTTCACTGGCTGATGTTTGGAAGGAGATCACCAGGCCTTTCTTCCTAGTCTGTCTTAGTCTGGAAGCTCTGCTGAAACCTGTTCAGCATCATAGCAACACACAAGCCTCCACTGACAGACAGACGGTGGTAGCTGCGCTTGAGGTGCATCGGCCAGGAGTTGAACCTGGGTCTCCTGTACGGAAGGTGAGAATTCTCCCACTGAATCACCACTGCCCCTAACACCATATAGAGAGCGGTAAAGCAAATGCGACAAAACGTTAACAATTGGTGAATCCAGACAAATGCGAGTTCGTTGACTGATTCTTGCAACTGTTCTATAAATTTCTTTTTTCAAAATATAAATAAAAAAAAAAAAAAGAGCTCAAATCCACAAGAAGGAGCCATGGTGGTGCAGTGGTTAAGAACTCGGCTGCTAACCAAAAGGTTG